CGGCCCGGGGGGTGCGCGGGGGCTCAGGGGCTGCCTGAGCCGGCCGCCGCCTGCTGCGGGGTCCGCCGGCCTGAAGTTGGTCTCGCTTCCGACTTCTCGCAAAGTGGGCTGCACCTTTGACGCTGCGCGGTTGTGCCACGGTCTGAGGGTTTAGCAGCGATGCTTTAGCCATCTCGATAAAGCTGCACGAGACTTGCGTGCAGGCAGGTGCTGCACGGTGCGTTTGTTTGTTTGTTTTTTAATTTAGGTGGGCTATCGCATACACTTATTGTTTTAAAAAAGAATCCTTAATGAGCAAAACTGGGAAAGCAGGTTTGGAGGGTGGCTCAGTTTGAGTGGCTAACTGAAAATTAGGTTCTTCTGTTGTGACAATTGCTTTGGCTGTGTTCTCAGCCATTCCCCTCGGAAATAGTTCTTGGGACGGAAATAGATTGGTGTTTGAAATGCTCTTTCTGGCATAAACAATTAATTTTATTGGATAGTTAATGCATAAGAAACTGAATAAAAATAGGTTTATTGTAAGAGAAGCGTGCATTGAGCTGTACTGATTTAGTGGTGTTTGTGCATGTGGTCATACGAGGGACTCTGGTCTGTTTGGCCTGGGACTCTTGAAACCCTGTAAGGAGAATAATGTTTTGTTTCTCTGCGTACTTCACAGGGTCAGTGGATATTGCTGAGCTTCGGTGTTGGATCACATTTAAATGTAGTGTGTAAATGTTTAAAAGCGTTGCTATAAAGGAGGACCTCTTAGAACAGTAAATCCATTTTGAAGAGCCGGTATCATTACTGTTGGCAGTTGCTTCTAGAATAGCTATTCAAAGTAACGTAATTACAAAGCAACGTATTTCAAAACCGTTCAGCTATGAGATAGCTTTTTGCATTGTGGATGTGGTATATCAAGCGTATATAATATGTTTTATGGTTAGGAAGTCCTAACTGTGCTCTTTCATCCAGTCAGAGTAGTTACATGCAGACTGTTAGTTACCTGAGAATCAAGCCTTTGTAGTCGGGCATAGTCGACCTGTGTCTCTCTACGCAGTGCAGCTGTGGCCTCTGTTCCGTGAGCGTGACATGTAGCGAGACTGTCGTGGTACAGGGATGGGGGGTAAACTCAGCCCTCGGCAGTGGAAGGAGGCAAGTCGGGAGGGACCGCTGAGGTCACCCTCATCAGGTTGTCCTAGCCGCAGCAGAGCTAAAGCAGTGACACCCCCACACAGGAGGCACTGCTAGCAACTATTCTGAACGTCACCTCTCTGTGGCTTTCTGAGGTGTATGCATGTGTTTCAGTGTGTATTTTGTGGCTCTCAGGTGTATGAATGTTTTGGTATGTAGCCTGTAGATCAGGAAGGTGTGTGATTCTGGTCTAATGTAATCCCTGCTCCCGCCCCAGAAAACGTGCAGGGACAACTGCAATAATACTGTCAAAGCTGGTTATAGCTTCTCAGACCATGAGTTTCACATCTGATGTAAGATGGAATACGTGAACATCATTTGCTCTTGGAAAGGAGGAAAAGATGGAGGAAAATTTGATTATTAGCAGGCTCTGTCTCCTGAATAGGAAATACATGTTGTACTAGAAAGTAACTATTTAATTCATTAAGTACAACAAATCTTTTACATATATTTGTGTGCTTTATTACTTTTATTAGTCACTGCATATTGGAGTCTGCACATTGCTCTCTGTGGAGTAATAAAAGTAAGTAACCGAGTAATAAAAGTAAGGTCCACATCAAACCATTTCAAACATATAGCTAGGGTAAGATGAGAAGAAAAACTTTAAAGCTTAGGTACAGAGAGTGAGAGTTCACTTTGCGATGTTTTACTTTAGTTTCATAGTCTTACTTAAGGCTTGTAAAGAGATGGAGTTGATGGACTTTGTAGCAGATTCCTGTGGAATGGCTGAAACGGCCTTTAAGCGCCGATTTCTATCTCTTCTCAGGAGATTTAGTTTCTCAGAGTGTATCTGTGCTTATAACTAATAACTTTATTTTCTCATACAAATCATTCTATGAATAACTTGTTTTACATAGATGACATTGCTAGACCCTTTGCACAGTCTGGTGTTGGATTTTGGTGTGTTAGGAGAATAACCTTCTTAAATTTTACGTCTTTTTTATATACTGGTCTGTCCTTTCCTTTTTTAACTGACTTATTTTCTGTCTCATCCCTCTGTACTGCCTTCTGGATATTTTTTTCCCCTCGACTCTGTTCATTTTTATTTCTTGACCGATAGTCTTGTGCAGCCTGATGGTCCTGCAGCCCTACTAGTAAAAGCGATAATGGAAGTGCCCCTGTGCACACAGTTGCGTTTGGCTCCCTGTGTTGCAGTGATCACGTCGTGTAGATCTGCCCCTAGTATCAGTAAGATGACATGCCTGTTAAAATGTTGGCAGCCTATATTGTCATAGTATTTCTACTACAGCCTGGAGATAAGTGATAGTCATGGCACCTATGGGAAACATTAAGAGAAGGATACTCTGTAGATTTAAGGGATGGTTCCTGTCTTACAGAAGCAGTATGGGGATTTACTTTTTGTAGTTCTCATCGTATGCTGACAGTTGATTACTTCCTAATAATGTTAACTGTGAAATATAGGGTTTATCTTTGTTTATGGATGTTGTTATTCTGTTTTATTAATAGCCATAATTAGAACCAAATTATAAGTTAAAAGCATTTCAAGTTTTTTAAATTATAGTTTATCACATAAACTAATGGAGCAATGCCATCATAATTTTAGCAAAGGCAGCTAGATCTTCGGAAGTGGAGTTTTCCACGAGTTGCCCCCAATGGTGTATGTAGCTACTAGGTAAAGAAAGTGAGCCTGCTTGCGAGATTTGCTGATTTGAATCCTGATTCAGGAGGATGCTTGCATGCCTAGAGCTGTTTATGAACTTAGTAATTTAAATTGAGACCTGAGTATTTTCCAGGACAGCCTGTTAGGTGGTTTGTGTAGACTTTACAGTAAATTCTTAATTATTAGCCATTGGGAGTGTATATAACCTAGCTGGTGGAAAAACCTATATAACGTATGTACTATCAAATGTCCTAGGAAGCATACAGCAGTTATTCAGAGATAGTGTGCATGTAGCTGAGTTCTTGTTTTTTGTTTTTTGTTTTTTTTTGGTTTGGCTTGCTGGCATTGCCAGATGTTCAGCTATTCGTATGTCTCTGTGTTCCGTGGTGCTCCAGCTTCCGGAAAACTCCAGCTGAAAAATCTTTAAAAAGCCTTAGGCTGGTGCCCAAAATGGTAAATTTGAGTTTAAACAATTGTTGAAGGTGCATCTTGATTACGTAAAATAGTGAATATGACACACGTACTTCTTGCAAAGCTCTGTCCTGGCATTGCTCTAGGAATATATTCTTGTGTCTTCCTTTATATTTGTATCCAGGCCATGTGATGAGTTATTAAAAAAATGGTTAGTTATGGTTATGATTACAAAATTATTGTAAAACTTGGTATAGTAGAAGAAAAACAATCAGACACGGGGGAAATACCTTTTGCTGTATGTTTCTTAAATTAAAGGATTAAATAACTTGCAGGAATGAATGATTCTTGAATAATGAGCAGAATGAATAATTAAATGCCCCCTCTTTTCTTGTTGGCAAACAAGTCTTTTTTTTAGTGTGTTGAAATGCTGTATATTCTCTTCTCTGACCTACCCCAGAATTACTGATTTAGTTATAACATTTGTTGCTTGAGTTAGTTACTTAAATCAAGAAGAGGTCAGAACTATTTTAACATTACATATTTATTTTGCAACGTGCTAAATGTTTGTTATTTTGAAGAGGTTGCTGCATCCCAAGAGGCTTGAACTGTTTTTTGTTTCACTTTGGAATTCTTTGCTTTGAATTTTAGATTTTAGAAGCGTTACTCACTGTGTATAGATTGTAACTCAGTTATAGTATTTCAATGTGTGTTTTTTAGCCAGTAAATATTGAAAGTACTTGAAGTTTGCGTTTCAACATTCAGCTAACAGTTTTTTTGTTTTTTTTATTCTAGTGATAGATAGAGAAGTTGACCATGACAACCTTCCTGGAATTTATCCAGCAGAATGAAGACAGAGATGGAGTTAGATTCAGTTGGAACGTTTGGCCGTCAAGTCGTCTTGAAGCCACAAGAATGGTGGTCCCAGTGGCTGCCCTCTTCACACCACTGAAGGAAAGGCCAGACTTGCCTCCTATTCAGTATGAGCCAGTTCTGTGCAGTAGGACCACATGTCGAGCTGTTCTGAATCCCTTATGGTAAACTCAATACATTGGTTTATATTATATCAATATATTTACTTGCAAGCAGTCTTCAGAATAACACCAGTTAAACTTTTATTGAGGGCTGAAAGAAAAACAGTGGAAAGATGAAACTGTCAAAGGTCAGTCAGGTCACTGACAGTGAATCACATGTATTCTTCACGTCTCGTGTATGCAAGTCATCTGTTTTTTTTTTTTTTTTTTAATACAACGTGTGATTAGTTGGACTCAGGTTGGGTGGTGGCCTTTTGAACTCTGTGTGGCACAGTACATCAGACCAGATGATCTGCAGCCCTTAAAGTTGGCATAGTTCATTTGATTTCATTAGAGCATCTTGGGATTTATCCAAAGATTTAATTTGGATTTGGATTTTTGACTACTTTTGCCCATGTAGACAGCAAAGATGTGATGGCAAGAAGTGCATATTGAAAACGTAATGTTTACTTTCCACATTGGTTATTTTACTACTTGAATACTAATAACAGTGTAGATAAAAGAGGATAGGCTCACCCATTGAAAAATGCTATTTCAATAGAGACATACGCTGAGAAAAGAGAGAAAAAGCAAAGGCAGGGAGGGTTAAAATTACGTGCCTTAAACCGTGCAGAAAGTCTCTAATAAAGGTGCTGAGCGTGTACTCTAATTTCTCATTTGCTTCCTTTCCTTCAAGACCATTCTTCCTTGCCCATAAAGACCATTCTTCATCCGATACATCTGTCTTTTCCGAGCAACTTATAAAACTGCACTTTATTTTGAATTTATAATATGGTTATTTAGGAGAAGGTATGTTAGAAGGAAGCTTTTTTAAAACCAATATATTTTAGAAAATTAGAAACTAGGGTCAGTGAAGTAGAATGAGTTGTTCCTCCTATGTTAACTTTTCTCATTTTATTTTTATAGCCAAGTGGATTATCGAGCAAAACTCTG